TAGCCAGTGATATTGACCAGCGTGCAGTTGTACAAAACAATCTTAGCGCTAAGGTGATCATAACTCCCACCCCATAACATAGACTTACGACAGTCTTAGCGATAAGGTTGTTTTGTACAAGGGCACCCAGGCAATGTAGTGGATAGTAAGGCAGGTCAGGCTACATCAGAAATAACAGAGACAGTAAACTGTAACCATTTTCCAAAATACTATGATTGGTATGAGGAATATATCCTCCCTCTTTGAATAACTATGAGATTAACTGTTCTAGCAAACTTTTATCCATATACACAATAGTGATTTAACTGACTAGGGTTTAGATATATAGAATAGTTACAGGCATTCATCTTGAAGTTCACACTTGCCTTTAACAAGCGGGATGGCAGAGGGGTGAAATTACATTGACCAACATTGGGATTTGGGGAAATTGTTTATTTTCTAATCGAGATATATGGTAACATTGCTTTCAATACAATAATGTAAAATTAACCATGAAAGCCCTCTTTCTTTATTGAAGCTGTTGTCTATGAAATACAAGTAAACTGATACATATTCTACACAAACGAAATTAAAGATCACCAGATTCTTCTATATCACTATAGTTAATCTGTCATATATTATATGTCATCATATCAATATCAATTTTACTAACATTTGCTGTAAACTTGGGGCTCAGTAACTGACCCTCAGAATGCCTGGGTAAATCCTGGTAGTACTAGGATCGCAAAAAACAATTATTCATAAAAAGTATACCATATTTGATGTCATAAGCATCCTCACAACTTAAAAAAGTGACAGAGTAGGGAGTGTATTAAAACCATACATAACACATCAATTCTGATTTTAGAGATCAAGCTGTAGTGAACAAACTTAGTTAAAAGTTTTACTGAAAATACAACTTTTTGATCTTTACAAGCCAATCAGATACCCCTTCTCCACTGATGTTTTCAGTATGAAAAAAGTGGCAAAATGCATAACAAAATAGATACTTCCATGTAATTTTTTCAGTCATTGTGAGGGGCAGAAATAAATACTGCAAAACAGGTCCTGGAGTTGATCTAGGGAACTCTCATTGGAGCAGGGCACTTAATAAGGCAAATAAGGTACCTGCTGTGACATGTTGAAATACAAAGATTTGCTTACGAAAGAGAAAAATGATGTTGATATAAACCAGTTTGCAAACATTCTAAACATTCTACATACAAGCTGACAATTATTGTTTTAGTACCGCACACTCTCTGTACTAATATTAGTTTCTTTCTCAGCATCTGCAGCATATAAACATCTGTTTAGTACAAGCTGTAGTTCCCATTTAGAACACACATAAATATTGCATATAACACAAATACTTCAATATATCACAAGGATGCTGCACAGAGCAGCAAGTCAGCAGATACACATGAGACTGGTTAATAATGTGTAGAAGACAGCAAGGCACATCATCACCAAGGCATCACATACAGCCTTAAGGCTCTCCTTAGATAAGTAGACAGTCTCTCCACATCAGCCTTAAAGCTCTCCTTAGATAAGTAGACAGTCTCTCCACATCAGCCTTAAGGCTCTCCTTAGATAAGTAGACAGTCTCTCTACATCGGCTTTAAGGCTCTCCTTAGATAACTAGACAGTCTCTCTACATCAGCCTTAAGGCTCTCCTTAGATAAGTGGACAGTCTCTCTACATCAGCCTTAAGGCTCTCCTTAGATAACTAGACAGTCTCTCTACATCAGCCTTAAGGCTCTCCTTAGATAACTAGACAGTCTCTCTACATCAGCCTTAAGGCTCTCCTTAGATAAGTGGACAGTCTCTCTACATCAGCCTTAAGGCTCTCCTTAGATAACTAGACAGTCTCTCTACATCAGCCTTAAGGCTTTCCATAGACAAATAGACAGTCTCTCTATATCAGTAAACACACTGTCTCTGGGTTAGCTGACAAACACATTTAATTAGTATTTCAGTATGGCATGTTCCAATGACTAAAATCATTGTCATATTTTCAATTGTTAACATACAACATCATATTTGAGAAACATAATTAAATTAAACAAATGCTTGTGGTTATCAAACTGTAAGGAAAATCATGAAGGTGAGACCACAATAAATTGACAATTCATCAATAATATTTCCATATGAAAATGGATAAATTCTTTGTTTGGATGAAGATACCTTACTCATAAATATACAATCAAAATGTCTGCCTGGTGTCTGTAAAACATACCAGGGCTCCTTTTCCTTCCACGTACAATTATTTTACATCTGAATACCAGTTATTTTAATCTTTATCAAAGAAAAACTGCCAACTCAACAATAAGATATTTTTGTATTTGATGAACAAGTAAACAATTTACTGTGTCTTTCATAGATTCATTGTCATTAAATGCTATGTTCATTTCACCACAATCACCTGTCACTTCTCCAATGATTCCCATGCCTGGAATTAGTTACTGTGTCATTTCCCTCTCACTGAATGAAGGAAACTGGGTATTTTAATAACAAGTCTCTATTTGGCAGATGCATATACTCAAATCTGTCAAAGATTGGTTCCTTTAATTTGCTAACATCTACAGCAATCTAATAATTCATCATTGAGGAATACATGTACCTCTCATCCTGTTTTATTTAACATTCAAGCATTTTGTAAACTGGGAAGAACACCAGTGGACAATAAATAGAATTTGTATATCACACGCTGTTTACAGTTTATAAAATAAGACCAGCAAGAGTAGGTTCAACAGTTGTATATAATAAATAGTGGATATTATAAGGGAGGCACAATGGAACATCAACATTACACTGGACGGATGACAACATAATCACCACTACACAAACTGGTGTGAATTAGATCACATACTGTAATATATAAATAGCTACTGATTTGAGATCTTGTACTCACAGAGGAAAACTATAACAGACCAATCTAAGGTTTTTCTTGTTTACCAATGCAGATACTCTAAATTTTGCCATACAACAGTAAAATGCAAAAACGTTTTTAACTGAAAATATGCTAATCTAAGACAGTTACATGTCTTAAACTTTTACTTTTAAGTTAAGAGCTCACTACAGGAATATGAAACAAGCTGCCTCATAATCTCTATCAAAATAATACAACATCTAACATTTCAACAAGTTATATACTTGTATGAACATGTTCTTCTCTCAAGCATCTCAACAGATTGGCCTTGAATACAAGAAGTACAAGAAGTATACAGGTCTAGATTAAATATATGTCAAGGTAAAAGCCCATATTTGTATTTAAACAATTTCAAAATATTCTAAAATATTGTGAAATAGTTCTGACATAAACTTGTAAAATTCAACAGTGGCATACTGGCTGGGTAACGAGGCATAGCTTGCTGCAGCAGCACATCACAGAGGTCAGCAGAGGAGGGATAAGATATATAACAGTACAATAAAATATCATACATCAACATAAATACAGTGGATACAGTGGATACAGTTCATAGAGACAGAAGCTCCTTCTTGGTGTAAACCGTTTATGCTGAGAAATACACAATGCCATTAGAAAGTGGTCAAATGTAACATATGTTATATTTGGGATTACACTTTCTTTGTAAAGTACAGATTCTAGTACTTTTGTTGGGTTGAGTCCCATGGGGACTCATGTGGAAGCCGCGGTGGCTCAGCGGTCTAGGCGGCTGACTTTGTGTGCTGGCGATTAGGTGCCTGACTCTGAGGGTGTGGGTTCAAATCTCGCATGGGACTCAACCCAACAAAAGTACTAGAATCTGTACTTTACAAAGAGAGTGTAATCCCAAATATAACATATGTTACATTTATGCTGAGGCAAGCTAATCTCTCTGTTCCCTAGCAGCACATAGAAGCCCTCCATCTCAGTTATAGAGTGAGTGAGGCGTTTTACACCACTTTTAGCAATATCATGGGCTTCACACATTGTAGGCATGCAGAATTGAACCCGGGTCTTCAGCGTAACAAGCAAATGCTTTAACCACTAGACTAACACACCACCCCTTCAGCTACAGAAGCAGCATCGGTCAGTATCAGATAGACTTGGGGGAAGCGCATGCACAACCACCTGGGTGATGGTTCGCTGCATAATCATTAAACATAATTTATGAAATCAGACAGATACCATTACTGGGTGCATCAACAACTGTGTATGTTCCTTCTAATGCACCAAGTGATGTCAAGGCAACCTTTTACTTACAATGTACCACGTGATGTCAAGGCAACCTTTTACTTACAATGTACCAATGTAGAAGGATGAAAATGCAAAATCATCAGTTTCTCTACCCTTTGCCAATCTCATATTGCATATTTATACAGAAATAGTAATATTTGGCTGTATTTTGTCCTTGACATTTGTGGATTTACATTGACATTGTTGTGCTACATTCAAGGTTAAGGTTGATGTTTAAGGCCTTCAAACATTATAAGGCGTTTCTATTTATCTGTTGATATGGTTACAGAAGCTGCTAGATCAGCATATCAATGTAAGTAAGAAATGGTGCTGTGATAATATCAAATGTTTATATACCAATGACCTGAATTTACATAACACTCAAAACACGGCTGCATATTTCATGGGGCTTAAGAATTCAATATACTGTATGATTAAGATTTTCAGTTGGAACATAGACTCTGTATTCTGATATTACAACCCAATTTTCAATGATGTAAAATATAAACCTTCAATTGAATTGACTGAGACTCTTTTAATCTGTCATTGTTACGCCTTGAGCATATCTGCTGACGTGGAAAAGGCATGAAGAAATCTGAATGAAGAAGAAGATGAATTATATGTGGTCAACCCCAAAGATAGGGAGTCATGCTACAGCATAGTATTTATAGCACAGAATATCATTGCTAAGTTTGGTCTCTTTACAATAAAATGTGCCCTGAAAAATGTCCAATCTGAAGGTTTAACAATAAGGATTTATGGTAATAATACTACATCTTGAAATAAGCAAAACTGAATAGGACCTCTGCATACTACTTCACGTAAAGGAGCAAAATGACTGAAATTTTATACAAAAACATCTTGAAAACAGGTCTTCATATGCAGGGATGGCAAAAGGAAACTCTATTTTCAGCAGAAAACTTAATATTGCGTCATCAAAGGGGTGGGGGGGTGTTTCAGGGGATTCACAGAGTTTATCAATTTGAAATAAATTCGGCAGATCAGAGGAAAATTGCCATAACTGCACATGCAGAGCAAACATGGGATAATTAATATTTTGGGGTATACTTTAACAAAATTATATTCTTGGTCTTTACTCCATGACTTATTTTGTTCTATATAGGCAACTAACATGGGGAGCCCTTACTACTAACAATCTCCCATACTGCCATGTTAACTGTGTGCTTATATCTCCTAGTCTCTGCTTGAGGTATTCTGCCAATTGCACTATATTTATCTGAGGTCTTCTTTTAAATTGCTTTCATAAATTTCAAACTGTAAAAATGCATATTTGCACCAATCACCATAGGTTTTCAAGTGAATAGCATGTTAAGATAAATACATCTAGTACAAAATATCTAAAAAACAGAAACAGTTGAACAAGCCTCTTGCCAGTGAAAGCAACTTGCATACTATTAAAAACACAACTAAATTATATGAGTTAACACACCCAGTTAAACCATGTAAACACAACTTCCTTAATAAAGTGTAAAGACATTAATATATCCATAGTATAAAACATGTGAAGGATTGATGGTGCTGTTGTGGATGCCGCTGGGACAAAACATATATTGTCATGAACAAAATATGACAAACCCCCCGAAATTTAAGGTTTCACAGTAGTATATCGATGTCTGAACAAGACTTGAACAGGGAACACATGTCACCTTATCCATAATATTTTGGCACAAACTTTGCAACGCGTTTATTATGTTTGTTTTTTCTCCCTTCACATTCAAACCATACTTATGAAATGTGTTAGAACAACAGTTGGCTTTTGCGACAGATGTTCATAGATAGTGACACTAATTAATATCACAGGTCGGGAAAGATCAATACAATCCATCTGACAGAGACACCTATAGTTCCACGAGACACACCTACATTCACCATGCTGTAAGGTAAGCATGGTAAGGTTAACATATAAGAACAACTGATTCTCATACCAAGGTCTTTCAAAGGTTGAAGGCTTCTCTTTGTGCATGAAAAGCAGAGTGACACAAAGCAGAGATGAATTCAGGATAATGAATAACCCTACCAAAGTCATGATGGGGCTCACACAGGATAAAATTAGAGGTGCCTGAATAAGTATGATGCCCAACCCTTATCTGAGGGTTAGAACTTGTACTAGCTGTCTTAATGTTGATTCAAAATGTACAAGTCCACAATTTCAGCCAGTTATCAGTAGTTCAACCCTTACATAATTTCATTCAATATAGTAACATTTGCTACAAAAAGCTCCATATATTTACTCTGAGATCTACTGAAAATAATCTTAAGTGACAAGTCTGGGCTATTAACTCCAAAGATTTTGCACATTGCACAAGAACCAACACTTATTTTTTAAAAGTCTTCAAATATATAGAACAAAGTACTAACAATGATAGCATAAAATGTACAATATATATCATTCAGAAATATTCTCTGAAAGATAAAAAATCTGGTATAATATCGTCTGCATAAAAGATATATCTATCAATGTGTGTGTGTCCAAATACAGCACACAAAAGGCAACGAATCCATTTATCACAGTTAGGGCGTAGCAGTTGTAGTACACTAAAATACTACATGGGATCTATGGTCTATATATCTATTCAACATATTGCATGTATGGTCACTCTAAAAATCTTCATCTGATGTTCTGTGAGTTGTACCTCCCTGACCGTCATCATCATCAGCATCATAATCATCTTCATAATCATCATCGTAGTCTTCCACTACTTCTTCAGCAGGAGTTTTGTCATCCAGTTTTGCTTTAAAGGAATTGTTGATGGCAATGGATTCTTCATTCTTTAGGTCAACGCCTGTATTGGCATTAGCCTTTATTGCTTCATCCACAGTTATCTCCCCTTTTCACCTTGGCTTGCACTCTCAAGAACCTTGGCCTTGTGAAGCTCTGGCAAGTGCTTCTCCTCATGTTGAGGATTGCGGCGACGTCGAGCTGGTACTGGGGCTTGGCTGGAGTGAGATGGCGATGAGAAAAGTGATGAATCCGGTTCTGACAGCTGCTCACCTCGTGATATGATTCCATCATTCTGCTCACCTCGTGATGACATCCTTTCACTCATATCCATCTCACTGACAGACCTACTTGCTCCTTCCATGTCTTGGGTGGTTATTGTCTTCTGATATTGCTCCAGCACCTGGGTGGCAGTCATTTCACCAGTCTCGCCCAAACCCACATCTGACTGTTTACCTTCAGGTTTCAAGTCACTCACTATCGATCTTACTTCACCAGACTGTGATATAGTTTCCCCAAACTCTGACCTTTTCTCCCCAATAGTTGACCTTGATTCACTGGCCAGTGACCTTCTGTCACTAACTTCCGATCTTGCCTCTGATTTTGTGTCCCCAAGCTGGGATCTGGTTTCTGATCTTTTCTCCCTAATAGTTGACCTTGACGCACTGGCCAGTGACCTTCTGTCAGCAATGTCGGATCTTGCCTCTGATCTTGTGTCCCCAAGCTGGGATCTGGTTTCTGATCTTTTCTCCCCAATAGTTGACCTTGATGCACTGGCCAGTGACCTTCTGTCAGCAATGTCGGATCTTGCCTCACTAGCTTGTGACCCTCTCCTGTGTTGGGACCTCACAGTACTGAATGCCTCTCCTGTACTGTCAAAGTTCAATGTATTTGTTGAGGTAAGAGTACCATCAATATTCTCAGTAGGTTTATTCTGACTGGCCAGTCGAGCTGCTCTCACATCAGGGTCTGGCTCCAACATGCTCACAGTCCTCACACACTCATCTTCCTCATCAAAGGGGTCAGGGTCATCTGATATGCCAAAATCTGTGCGTAGTTTATCCAGGATAGCTCTCATTCGAGACTGAAAACATAACAAGCATATTGCATAAGTTTCTTTGTCAACAGTGAAGTAACCTAGGGACTTTATTAACTGTTCATTTTCTATGGTTTACTGTTTTGTTTCTCTTGTCAATCGAGCCGCCTCCGTGCTGTAGTGGTTAGAGCATCCACCTGGAGAGCAGTATGTCGCGGGTTTCATCCCCAGCTGCGTCATACCAAAAGATGTTAAAATATGGTACTTGTTGTTCCCTGCCTGGCACTCATGGGTACAACAAGGACTGGTCAGCCTGGAGTCAGTATATATGTGTCTGAGTGGGGTATTCATGCTTCACTGCGACATGGTATCTCAGTGAGCTAGCACTATAAAACCAGCTTAAGTCTGGGTTAGTACAAGCAGCCACACATACACACGCATAAACGTCGTCATATGAGCGAAATATAAGCATGACGTTAAACCCCATTTCACCTCACCTCTTGTCATTCAGATTATTGTAACCAATTATTTAAAGATTCTATGAGACTAGAGGCACTCACAATCTTCAGCTTTCCTTTGTGCTTCTCCACATGTCTGTCAAACACCTTCTTCAATACCCTGTAAGAGAAAACAGGATACAATGAATTACAGTGACAATTATATCTATCATCAACACACAGGAAAGGTTCATCTTCCAAATTGTCATCTACCTTGGTGTCTGTTCTGTAGAGGCTCAACCCTGAACCATTTGTTATATTATCCCTGCTCAATACACCGGCCACTCTGAACACAATTGTGGGTATAGATACCCGTCTTGTACACCTGTAACTCTTAATCCACCTGTTAGTGTTCATATCCCTGCTCAATACACCTGGCACTCTGAACACAATTGTGGGTATAGATACCCGTCTTGTACACCTGTAACTCTTAATCCACCTGTTAGTGTACACCTGTAACTCTTAATCCTTGTACCTGCTAGTGTTCATATCCCTGCTCAATACACCTGGCACTCTGAACACAATTGTGGGTATAGATACCCGTCTTGTACACCTGTAACTCTTAATCCACCTGCTAGTGTTCATATCCCTGCTCAATACACCTGGCACTCTGAACACAATTGTGGGTATAGATACCCGTCTTGTACACCTGTAACTCTTAATCCACCTGCTAGTGTTCATATCCCTGCTCAATACACCTGGCACTCTGAACACAATTGTGGGTATAGATACCCGTCTTGTACACCTGTAACTCTTAATCCACCTGCTAGTGTTCATATCCCTGCTCAGTACACCTATAACATCTGTTTGTGTAGATACCCCTGTTCACTACACCTGTAACTATGAACCCACCTGTCAGAGTAGATACCCTCTTTAGTACATCTGTAACTCTGAACCCACCTGTCAGAGTAGATACCCTCTTTAGTACACCTGTAACTCTGAACCCACCTGTCAGTGTAGATACTCCTGTTCACTACACCTGTAACTGAACCCACCTGTCAGTGTAGATACCCCTGTTCAGAACCTCCTCTGTGACCTGTTTAGCAAACATCACATACTGTTGTTCTTCGTCCCTGTAGAAAAAACAGAAGTCATCACGATCACATTTCTCACAATTCCTTACAAAATTATCCTCTTTTTGGAAGCTGAACCTTAGCAATGAGTGAGGGTATTTTTTGAGACTTTACAAGAGACTAGAAAATAGGCCTGTTTTGTTTACATTTGAATATAATCCGTATTTTAAAATCTTCCAAACAAAAGAATAGTTGCAAATGAAAAGGCAGAATTACATTCTTTGTGCATGATGTGAGGCAAGTAGGTACCTGATAAACTTACAGGCAAATGGATGACATTTTAAATGCCTGGAATTTACATTGAGCTTTTTGTTAACAAATCTGTACGTGAGTCAGGGAATTTACTTTACGCCACTTTTAGCAATATTCCATCAATATCATGTGGGGGCACACCAGAAATGGGCTTCACACATTGTACCCATGTGGGCAATCGAACCCAGGTTTTCAGGGTGACGAGCGAACGTTTTGACCACTAGGCTACCCCACCGTCCCAAGAAATCTGGGCCAGATGACAGCCATGTCTGGCATAAACATGTCTTTTCTCTTGCCTTCTGATTTTCTGCATTACCAGTCTGCTTGTTTTCTTATAGATATCAAGTATTACAGTCAAGTGGCATAAGTGTAAAGAAGCCAATCAGGTTGTACCATGTATTGAAGCCAATCAGATGAGAGATGTATAATTATTGCAGCCAATCAGGTGACAGGTAGTTGAATCAAATATTGCAACCAAATGTTTTAATTATCAAAGCCTATCAAGTGACAGCTGACCAAGCTATTATAAAAAGAATTAACCAGTTTTTGTAGCTTGTGGTATCAATGCTGAGAATGATATTAGAGTTCAGACAGTTAGTGATATTCAACTTCCTGAGCTTTCCTCCAGCTTGAGCCCTACTTCCTGAGAGAGGGTGCTTTTATGCCACAGCACTAACATTCCAAACATTACCATTGATTACCCTCCAACGGTTCACAGGGGTTTCCACGTGTACGTAAAACTGCTGTTGGTTAATAGTCATAGAAAACAATTGATGAATGGAAATAATATGAAAGTATTTATTCAGTCTATTTCTGAGTGAAGATTATTACAATATACATAATTATAATGCAAACTATTTCATAGTTCCAAGGGAAACATTCCTGCATGTTAACATTTGTTTCTGCTTGGACTGACTGACTGACTGAGTTTGGTTTTACGCCGCTTTTAGCAATATTCCAGCAACATCACGGCGGGGGACACCAGAAATGGGCTTGACACATTGTACCCATGTGGGGATTCGAACCCAGGTCTTTGGCGTGACGAGCCAACACTTTAACCAGTAGGCTACCCCACCGCCCCTGTTTCTGCTTGGAGACATCAAGTCCATTGTGACATCAGGCAACCTTACTGCCACATGTATCAAACATCTGGTTAAAAGTGTCATGTGCTCATTGGATAAGTAAGTGACACAATGGATTACAAGTGGAAGGAATGCAATACAACCAAGGTCTATCAAAAATTCCGGAAAAAAACTACCTTACTGACAAATATCAACTGAGATTGGAAGCAAACTGTCAACATTTTACAAAATCCAATTTCTGACTTAAATATTGTAATCTCTACAAGGAAGACCAAGATATAGACTTCTAACTATCCTGTTTCAGATAAACTGGCATTAATATCAAACTTATGAGGAAGATCAATATAATTTCACTATTCAAAATGGATTTCGATTTCATGGAACAAATACTGCTTGGTATAGAATGGTGATGAAATGATACACAGTTGATGTTGAGGTCATAATACAAGATACATGAAACCTTGACATACACTGTATTTCATGCTTGTACTTGTCTTTCAAGGGCTATTAATGGCTAAAGCATGTAAAGATGGGACAAACACATATTAGCAATTTTCCATCAAATAAACTAGAAATAGTGTGCTACTACTGTATATACCACTCGAACTTCTGGAATTCCTGTCCACTTTCAGCACATGTTTAATTCCGTACTTCACTATTTGACCTCATAAAAGTATACCGTATATTACCGTCTATAAGCTGAATTTAGAGGACCAAAAAAAGCAGTCTGTAGAAGGGGGTCGTCTTATCCATGGGTTACCCTTTCGTCAAACTTTTTTCCAGGGCTAAGAGAACAACATTGTATCACTTCGCGCAACATACATGATTGTGAATTCTTTGAATAATGTGGAAGAAAGTTATAATTATTGGTAACTGCCAGTTGTCTGTGTTTGCCGCGATTAGGACCCCATCGCGGGGGATCGACTTATGCACGAAACATACCATTTTGACACTGATTTTAATGGTCAAGTTTGGGGGTCGTCTTATCCATGGGGTCGTCTTATAGACGGTAATATACGGTACTTGCAATGAAGCAAAACTTCATCACAGCCCTTCTGTTGGGAAAACTAAAACATTATAGAATTAAAATATTTACAGAAAAAATAGTGCTATATGAAACACTGAAGGTAACAAACACCCTGCATATAACTTAGTCACACAGAAAAAAACAACATCTGAAGTTGGTTCATCGACATCGTTTGCAAATGACAAACACATATTCAGAGTTTGTAAGCATTTGCAGGGTTTTGAAATCTATTTCAAATTAATTTAGTTTTCTCCTGAATTATAATCAAGGCACTTTGTTTCCTGTGTTTTTCAGTAAGAGTCTTACAAAATCTGAATTTTATCCTACAACCACAAAAAGCAGACAAGCAGCTGGTGAGACAACAGTGACTATAGAAGCAGGTTGCTCTCTTGTATCTTCACATAAGAGATGCTTTAAACATTTTGGATAAAAACTAAACTGACATCGAACAGACAACAATGCGACCACACTATAGCTCTCATTTAGATGAGGTAAGCTAAAAACAGAATAGAAAGTAGATAAATACTAACTGACTTGCATACCAATAATCTCTTTTAATCTATTATACATTGATCAAACGAGATACACCATCTGTACAGAATATGTACTTCCCTCAGAATGCTGTAAGCTAAAGGTTTGAGTGTTTATGTGTTAAGAATTGAATAGCAACAGATAAGTAATTGATTACAATATTGTTCACACATTGTGTGTGTCTTATTCAGTAAGTAAAATTCACTTCAAAGATGCTGACTTTACTTTGATAATGATAAATGTAATATGAATTTTCCAAAATTTAAGAATGTCTTATTTGTTTTCTGTAGCATATCATCACTGAGTATTTCAAGGTATAAATTGTGTACACAGTAGAAAATGTAAAATATTAATGTAACAGAAAATATTCTCCTCGACACATATCATCATGACTGCATCAGTGCATGTAACAAGGCTTCATAACACGTTGGATCATATCAACCCTGACTTTTATATTCACATACATGAGTTTCAGCATTTTCAAGCAGAAAGTATAAATGCATGAAAAATGTATTTTTTTATGATAAAATTGATATTTTATACTTATCCTGACTCATGATTTGAACAATATAGCATGATTCAGGAAAAGTAAAAATATGTGATTTTTATGATAAAATTGATATTTTATACTTATCTTGACTCATGCTATATTGTTCAAATCATGAGTCAGGATAAGGAGAAATAGAAAATCATGCAAATACAATCTTTCATAAGAATGTCTACTGTTAAACTGTCAGCAAAGGGCATCAGAAAGCCTATGTTGATTCTACTACATGTATCTCTGTACTGGGACAGTTGGTAGGGTAGGGGTGAGAACTGTGCAGTACATCTTGAATTAACAGAGGGGTTTAAATCACTCAAAGCGGTATTGAAGTAACAGAAGGGTTTAGAAGTACTCACGCTTCACTCATTCTCTGCCTGTTCAAAGACTTAGTGCCAAACGACCTGCCAAGTAGAGAAAATAGCTGTAGTTTCAGTAGCAAACACTACCATTAGAATAATCAATTTTGAAAGCTGAATTTTTTGTAATTTCAAGAATATTTCAGTATGTTACACAGGCTATGCTGAACCCCCATTTCTGCAAGCTTTACTGACGACTGAAGTTGTCTGTCAATATCGTCTTCTCAAAGACACACCTTTTTCCATATTAACAACGTGAGTCAACAACAATAACCACATTATATACAAATACAGGGCATAGCACAAGCTGCAATAAATATCACAAGTGACAGAGATATTGAAGTATCACATAAAAAGGGCTAGATCACATAAAAACAACTGCAGTTGTCATATACAAGTACATTAAGATGCATTAAACTTATTTATAAATATTCATATGATTTACATGTCAATTTGTCAAGGCCACAACTATGTCTTCATATCACATATCTTTGAGAATTTATTCGTAAACTGCAGAAATACACAATACACCATGTGATGGAACTTTTCCTAACATGCCAATAGCAAGTATAAAATATAATCTAACATTTGAGGCACAAAATCTTGGACTAATAAATAATTCAAGACATACTTTTATCTTTTGACTAAAACTCTGTTTAGAACCCAAGCATGAATCTAATGTACAAATTAATCCACCACAACATGTCACCAAAGTCAATAAAAGTGAATTACTTAGTAAGTCTAGGATCGCCAGGAGAGGACCTCATCGTGCCATTGACAGCAGGCTGTTCAGTCTCATCAATCTGATCCATTGGCGCCTTCATCCCATTGTTCATCCTGATCTGTGCCTTGCTAGCTTGTTCCTGGAGCCAGTTCATATGATCCTTGTCCACTGATATGTCCAGCTTGGGTACCCCGTCCTTCTCTCCTTGATGGCGGTTAAAGTCTCGACTCTGTAGCGTCTCGAACATTAGCTGGCTCTCTGACAACGTTTGTGTTCCAGTCCTGTCCTGGACAGCGGTACCCCGGGGTTTGGGCTTGGGTCGGTAGTCTCTCTCTGTCTGCATCAACTGCCTGCTGGTTTGTTCCATGTCATCATGTCTGTGACTTGGTTTCTTGGGTGGCGGGTTGTAATACTTGTACTCGCTTAGACGAGACTGACGGTTCGATTTCAGAGTTCGTGGCGTGAACGGTTTCTCTGGTTCCGTGAATACGTGCGAGCGTTTCTGCAAAAGATCGCCATCTGGGTTCTTCTTTGGATTGCCCGTGAGACTGGTGCGAGATCCATTGCTTAGCATGGAGTGGGTGGATCTCACAGAGGAAGGGCGTTTCTCCGGTCTGTAGTAGGTCTGTAGATTGTTGGCCTGAACCTGATCCTGGTATCTGATGGTTTTGTTGAAACCACCGGGGGGACTGTCCACGGGGTCGTTGGCCTGACCCATATGTGGCGTCAGCACTCGCAGGGTAGTTTTCTCTCAGGGTTGTCCTCATGATGTCATACACCAGCCTCTCATCATCATCTTCGGGTTCATCCTAAGTACAGAAAAGAGACGTATACGAAAATATTAATATCCTTAAACATGTCATTAGATACCAACAATACAAGAACAAAAAATAACCCAGACATGACACAGTTATTATCCTATAATAATAATTAAAATCTGTCTAAAATTAAGAAATTCACAGTTAAGCAAAAGTGACCTAACGATACAGCTGTATAGGTATGTGTGTTGAAGATTGTTTTCTAAACAATTGTTAATCAGGACATTTTGCTGACCATTTTGTTTGCACATTCTCTCACAATTCAATCATAATTTTAATCTACAGAAGAAGTGAAAGGTGGAGTGAATGAAATCACATGTTCAGAAATTTGAACACCCAAACACCTACCCATTCTGCCTCATCATAATATTCAGCATCAACATCATTTCGTGACACTGGCCGCACAGACATACGAGAAGTTGGCCGACTTGTTCCTTGTTTTTTTATGTGATCACGTTCTTTCCTTTCTCGAACTAAAACAGAAAAACCAGGATATCAATAAATGGTTGTATAGTACCTATATGTACTACATTCACTAAAACAGAAAATATAAAAAAAAAGATAAGCAAAAAAACACCTCCACATCAACATCATCTTTAACATGTCAAATATATGCAAATGCAAGATAACTTTACCTTTCTGACTCTGTGCGATAGATTTGGGTGGTCGGTTATCAATGGCAGCTGAAAATTTAGAAACATTATACAGTCTATTAATTTAGGAATGTCATTAGTCTATAACACAAGTCATAAAACATAACTTCAAATTACACCATGCTTGTATATTGCAACATGTTGGCCACATATAATATACTGTCATCATCATCATATAATTGTTATAATCATGTTATGTTTGGAATGAAAAATATCAGCCTTTACACAAACATTGTTTCCAGAACCACAGCGTGAAATACTTATTTATATCCTCAACAGAAATCTTTATATATGTTGAAACATAATTTATAATGTCTGAGAAATATTACTGCTGTATCACAACCACCAGAAGAAAGTGCTTAATGTTGCATGTGACAAACCAGTGGTTGAGAGTGTGAATGTCCATGTATTGGTTTCTGATAACAGTCTAAATACATCTGAGTTATTATTTATTTTTACATGGTTTTCATATCCCAATTCTCTCTTTAGCTTTAAAATTTGTTACCTGTGATATTTTCACCAAAAAGGACTGCTGAAGTTTGACCAAAATTTATAAAACTACAACATATGTCAAAAGTATAAACTTTACAAGACCACCATGTCTACTCACGTTTAGCTTTATTTATCTTGCGGTAATGGTTGTTCATGTGATCCAGAACTAGATACTGTGTTGTCAGTTTGGCAGATGTTGGGGCTAGTGCTGGAAAATAAGCAAGCCAGTTTTTTAAACCATACCACACATCACAATTTCAAAATCAATATATGCATAAGATATTATGAAAACTGACAGCTATTATAACTTGTACTCTGTTCATTCTACACCTGGCATAATGCACCTGTATATATTTGGAAGGATTGAAAAACATTCACATTTGACTGGAAATCATCCAATAAATGTAATACAGAACAAAGAGATTGTTAAAAGATAATAGATAAAAAAAATAACACCTTTAACAACTCATTCATATATTTCAAGAAGACTACAATTTCTGATGACAGTAGTTTACTACAAAGACATGAATGTGTTTTTTTTAATTGGCAATGCTAATTAGATAAAGTGTAATCACAGAAGAGACACTGCAGTAAATATTCCTGCATTACTTCTGCTTCTACACTGTTCAAATTTTCATTCACATTGTATTTTCACTTGCCATGGTAGAGATGCAAATTGTGAACTTACGGCCACTTTTCAGCCCAAGACTCCCTCTCAAACTTCCAGCCATGTTTTTCTGCTCCTCAGAGCTCCTGTAAGAAAAATTCAAGTAGTTTGTTTACATTATATTGCTTCTAACAGGTGTAACCTGTCACTGCTATAACAATAAATACTTGACACTGTATAATGAATTTGAGCTGACCAGTACCTCTTTTATCCCCAAGAACCAACTAGTTTAACACAAAGTACTGGTCCTTTCAACGTCTCTTAGTGCCATCAACTTTTGCCTCTACTTGTTTCGTGTCATTGACAACAGAAGTGGTCGTTCTTAACTTGAAGTAATATTGTTGACGTTAATGTTGTAGTTCTGACTTTAACTATAAGCATAACACAGATGTTCTGAGCTGAACAATGCTTGTTTATCCACATTATGCCAGGCGCCAGGCTGGGTAACAACAAGAAACATTTCTCAACGTCTATTGATTACGTCATGGACAGATTTCCGCCCGTAACCCCGGTTTTTTTATCCTTCTATGCAACGATTTATAGTAAGAATAGATGTTTTTTATAGAAAGCTTATCCAAATCTAAACCCTAAACCCAAAAATAAATAATAAATGAATCTAAACCCTAACCCCATGAAATAATCATAATAAATAGAATACTTTTCAAGCGGGGGTTACGGGCGGAACTCTTACCAGATTCCAGACAACAGTTTCATAATTCATAATGAAATTAAAGCACATAATCAAGAGCAGCTGACATAAAGCAATAGCTTTACAGCTTTAATTTCAGCACGTTTCAATGGCTTTCTTAGCTCATGCTGGAAACTGTTGTTTCCTGGCTCAGAATAGTAAAATCTGAAGTGCTAAATCTCAGATGAAGTAGATCCACGTAATGATGGAGTAGTGCAAAATGTCTTGTTAATGTCTCTATGTATATCTCATCAGATGTAACAATAGATGAGTCCACTTATGAAAGAGAAAAAGGGCCAAATCGCACGACTGAAAACAGCGGCAGTACACGAAAGTGAAAAAACCCTGTCAGGGCCAGGGGTGTTGAGATTCAAATTCGCTTCAGCATTTGCGCCGTTTTACTTACAACACACGTATAACAACCATTGCAGTATTGTTGAGCCTACCGTTATATGAGGGTGCTTCCAGGGCAAAAGTACCCGAGTGATTTGATGCTTGCTACATAATGCCATTCGCAAAACAGTCTAAATCAATACAGAAATTCCAGTTCAGACTCGTCCGCCATTTTGGTAACTATAAACTGTCGCTTGCGACCCCTGTCGGAATAACTGAGAGTTACATACCCTGTTTCGCTCTTCTTGTTGCATTCGTGACTAACTCGTGTTATTCCGGGACAAGCTGAATAGCGTTCTTGGAGGTTACGGAAAGGGGCGAGTGGTGATGAATGTTCTTGTTGCTGCTCGGCTCATGCGCACTCGCTGTAAGGCTGTACTGTGTTCTAAGCCCATGCAGTATAGTAGTACTATCCTTTAGAAAAGCAAGTCTAGATAAGGGGACAGGACCCCAGTCTGTTATTTATATATTGTTTTAGAAACTATCATTTTAAATATTACTAATTACCTTATAATGAATGAATGAATGAATGAATGAATGAATGTCTTTATTTCCTCCAGATTTCAATCCGAAGATCATTTACATATACAGTGAAGCCTCGTTAATCCGGACGGTTGCGTTTCTCAGCAAATTCGTCCGGATTGCGAATAGTCCGGACTACTGAATCAAGACCTAAGTTCAAGCAAGAGTTGCTTCCCTTACTATTACAAAAACGACACGAATCTGGATAAAACAAATAAGCATTTAATGTAAAGCTTATAAAACAATGAATAGCAAGCACAACAATAATCTATAGTCATAGCAAAAAGTCTTTCATTGTTGTTTGTGTTCGTTTAACCTTCCTCATGTATACATCAAATATTTACAACATATTCACAAGGCGGGTATACACATGTACAGAGCAAAGGCAAGGAAGGATCTACAATACACACTTGAGTGAGGATACCATTGAATACAGGTATGTACAAAATAGGATAATCATACATCTCCATCACATTTCATCTATGTGTTCGGTAACAGGTATTTCACCTCAAAAAAAGAGAGACAGCATTTCATCTTCTGTCAGTAATTCTACTGACATGAAAAAGATCTAAAAGTTTGGAAAAGAACTTATTCATGTTGTACATATAATGTTCAGAATGTAGAATTATATGGCAGTCATATTCATTACAGTGTCTTTCACAGAGTTCACAATATTTTGAAAATTTTCCTCGAGAATTGATTTGTAAACACAATTGTAAGACGTCTCTATATTGTGGATAAACATACATCAAACAATATAGTCTATGTACACCACAGGTAGCCTACATTGGGTTAGGCGGTATCTGGCCATATCCTGTATGAATGGAGATTTCTCAGACGAAAGACCGTTACTCCTGTCTTTTTTACCTTTAATAGTTTCGAAATGGCACTTAGAATAAGGTCTGCTTTGTGAAGACCCATTCACTACAAATATAGTATTCTGGGCGATCCCGCTCGGGACGTCTATGTTAAACAATATTCCACCAGCGTCATTCGTTAGTCATTCTTAAATATCATTGCGTAGCTACCAATGTTATAAAAAGCCCGGGCTTACACCTACAATCGCCCTTCTACGAAAACTTATGCGTTAGTAGCGTTACTCCATTCTGTAGTCATTCTGCAGGCTTTTAAGTGCAACCTATCGGGCTAACACGAAACAAATGGCTTGCTATGCGCCTGACCATCCCGATAAGTAAAGTTTCGCTACTGTATTATTCGCAATTGTTTGATCGGCATTCTAGAAGTTGGTGAGTCAAAAATGAAACATACAACTTTATGGATGACAAGTTCTTGTTTATTGCATAGAGCGTAGATGTAGATTTTTACACCGTTATCAAGTTTTAAAAAATGTAAAAAATATTATTACCGTTTCTTTATTTCAAACTTATAAAGAAGAAATCATACAGGTCGGCTAGATGTGAGGGGGATACACACTATGCACAAGACTATGAGTGGTGGTCACGACTGGAACTTGTACGTGACGTTCTCATGCCCAGTCTTAGTGAAAGGGCTATTGGACATCATCACCATCATCATCATCATCATCATCATCAAATCACCATCGTCTCTTAGAAGTTAGTAATATGGACAACACATAACATAAAGGCATACAGAATTCTAAGGAATCACGCACACACGAACGCATGCACGCACTCACAGACACCAACATACATGTGTGCCGAACTGTAGACGAACATCGACTTGCAGATAGTACCGAACTGTAGACCACGGCGTTAACTGCTGCTATACTATTGATACTATACTAACCGTACATTATCACGACTTGTAAATCACACGTGTCAAATCATAATTCATTTACAGTCTCACGCCTCTCTTTTCTCAAGTCGCGATGTTTCTATTCTCATCATTCACCGCGGAGTACATGAATTATTTATTACTATCCAGCCATTTCAAGTTAAGCTGTCTGGAATACGTCTCCGAGAGCGCACTTCATACAGTGCACACAATAGTATCTAGAGTCATAAAAGCACACAGTGTGTGACAGAACACCTACCCAGCACAAACACGCATACAAACACTGATTAATGTAGACACACATCGACTTTCATGCCGAACTGTGGTCATTTATGACAGCAACTGCTTGGTTGATAAAACGAATAATCTTTTTTACCATAACTGGTAGGATCACACGACTTTCACAGAATTAATAAAATAATTGCGTAAAGAACTATCCAGTGTGAAAAAAATCAATTGTATATTATTATAATGTGGGCATTACATTACACCAAATAGTGAGTGAGTTTAGTTTTACGCCGCTTTTAGCAATATTCCAACAATATCACGGCGTGGGAAACCAGAAATGGTCTTCACACATTGTACCCATGTGGGGAATCGAACAGGGTCTTCGGCGTGACGAGCGAACGCTTTAACCATTAGACTACCCCACCGCCCCTTACACCATATAACGGAGGAAGTCATCAGTGATGCTTTTCCGTTCCCAGTGTTTTATTCAACAGCCAGCTTGAGTATATCTGCATTATCGAGTGACTGAGTCGGAAAATCAATGTAAAAGAAAAGACAGTTATGACATGGGCAAGAGATTGCCCAATCCACGAAAGGAAGTTACATATGTACATACGTTTGATTGTTTATGTACGTGTTTGACCTCCAACACTGGAAGACTGGAATTATCTGGCAAGTTTTTTATTCATTCAAAATCAGTAGATACAAATATACAAAGTACATGATGCAACAACACTTGTACACAGTAAAACAGAAATTCATATGGGTTGGCATTACACATATTGGAATCTTCATTAAGCCCGGAATGTGTGCAGTAGAGATGACCATCTGGCAAGTCTTTACTGACAAAGCTCTAGGATGAAAAGTAGTATTTCTGTCGGTTTCATATCAGAGCTCAAACACACAAACTGATAAGCGGCATGTTTGTTTACTCGTATCATCAACAAGTATCTTGAATTTGATATTGCCACGAGGCCCATGTAGAGCCATGTTAGCATTGTTGGTTGGTTGGTTGTTGTTGTTGTTGTTTTTGTTTAACGCCGCGCTTAGCAATATTCCAGCAATATGGCCGTGATCTGTAAATAATCAAGTCTGGACCAGAAAATCCAGTGATCAACATCATGAGCATCATTGGGATACGATGACATGTGTTAATCAAGTCAGCGAGCATGACGACCCGACATACCGAAACACGAGTCTCATTAACCAATTCAGACAATGACCTACTTTTTAGCTGATCAGAATTGTCTCGAGTGAAAGTGAAAAGAGACACTACAAACAACTATGGTTACACTGAATTCCAATTCCTTGTGTCATAAGAAAATGGTATTTACAAATTAAATTCAATTGGAAAGTTTAATAAAGTCGTATTTCTATATTTTATGTCGGGGTTTTGGCAGCATGTCATTAACTAAGACGTCACAGACTGCCCCAGTTTGAAGAGATCGTACAATTCACAACTCATCTGGCTCACTGGTTACACCTGTGATGCCTTCTTTGCACTAATTTAGTTTATTTTCGTAACGTACAATGTGATTGATATAATATCAAGTCCGTACCAGACCGCCAAACGTTTGTAGCGGCCGAGCCTCGTTTTGAGATTTTCACGAATTCCAGATTTCCGTTTGTCAGAGCATGCTGTATACGACAGAGCACGCTGCACGGCGGGTTTGCAAGGATTAGAAGGAGCGTAGTGTTGCAATATACAAGTGATTAGATGTATCAAATAATAATGAATTTAATATGTATATATCCAGTTGAATGAGTTGGTCTCAAAATTCTGGACTGGTTATTGTACTAAGTTGCGCAATAGGATGGGACCGAGTCAGCAGGAAACGAGACTGTTGTGTAATCAATGTTTTGACTTTCCTGTTAGTCGCCTCCTACGACAAGCGTGGGTTACTGAAGATCAATTCTAACCCATATCTTCACGGGTTTATGTTAGAATGGGTCTTCAGCAACCTGTATATATGCCTGTCGTAAGAGACAACTAACGGGGTTGGATGGACGGGTTCATAGAGGTGGTTGATGCATGTGACAATCTCCCAATTACGTAGATCGATGCTCATGATGTCACTCACTGATCTGTCTGGTCCATTTTCGATTTTTTACAGACCGCCGTCATATAGCTGAAAAAGTGCTGAATGTGGCCGTAACCAACAAGGGGATGTTGCCACGACATGTGACCACTTAAAGGCGACTATATTTAAATTCATCGACATTACGTCACATCTCAATTTTATTTTTAAAATGGAATTTGATTCGAGCCTTTACGCTGCAAGTCGGTGTCCCTCCAAGTATGGCAACATAACACCGAGATACATGTACACAATCAGTAATATGATGGGCCACGTCATGTTTACTATATTTCCCCTGGGAAATAATGAGATTAGCCAACACCTCAGACGTTCTGACAACAACTGAATAGCTGGAATATCGAGTGCCAAACCCTGTTCTTGGCATTCCCAGTGTGGGATCCCGGCGGTATGCAGCGTGTCCGTGTAATTATTCTTGTAGCAACAGCCGACAATATCGTATGATGATCAGGAAGTTACGGTGATGGCAGAATAACATAGACACGTGGCACTCAGGTGTGTATGACAGCCCAATCCCAGAGAAACCTGAAAATTGGCGTTCACGATATCAGCTAATCGTCTCATCCACGAGTGAATGAGTGGGTTTAGTTTTAC